CAACTAACCAAATAGTGAGGTGGCGCTAGTATAGCAGTTTTAACTTTGACATTAGTGAAAGCCTCCATCTTCAATCTCCCGAGACCAAACAGATTATCCAGAGTTAAATTGTTATCATTAATTTAAATTTTTTTTTCAATTTTAACTCTGGATAGTTAAATTTGAAAAAAAAGTAAAAAATAATTTAACAAATACATTTCGCGTTTTAAGCCGTTTGAAAGTATTTTATTACTACAAACAGAGAGAGAGAGGTTTATATAGAGATTCCCTGATCTTTCCAGACACTCGAATTTACTTCAATAAGTCTGGCGGCAAAGCAAACATTTCACTATCGCCAGCAAAATTGCTTTTTTCTTTAGAATAATCTCAAGATCTGCGCCTAGGACTCTTTATTGCCCACTGAGTCACTTCCGATGTGCATTATATGAAGCGGAATGAAGAGTTTAGCGGTGAAGTCTTACAGCACTTTTATGGGGAAAGCATATCTCATTTACAATTGAAATATGTATGCGTAAAAAAAATTTAAGCTACAGAAATCCTTAACTTCTACTTATTTAATTATTGCTAAGTTTACAGTTATTTTTGGTAGAGTTGGTAGAGACGCATAGAATAAGAAGATTATTAATTTCTAACTATGTTTAAATATAACACTTTAAACGGTGTAAAACGTAAAATATATTAGATAATTTATTTTAACTACGGCCCGACGTTTATGTCCGTTAAAACTGTTTTATTTAAATGTGCAATACTCGCGTAAGTCACAATATTTAGTCTACAGTTAATTAAAGATATATTTTCGACAAAAAATTGAAAAAAAAAAAAAAAAATACCTTATTTTATAAAATCGATGATGTATTCGGATATTAATGCGTGAACACAATATAAAATGCATTAAATTTTTATTTTTATCGATTTATTAACCACCGAAATTGTTTTATAGCACTAGGTAAACTTTACATACATATTCCATGAAGTATGCTAAGGAGCGACTCGAAGCCAAACATATCCATTTCCTTATGCCGTCGTAACAAAACGCTGAAGGAATGGTAAAAAATCTCAGACACGCGATTCACGCTTGGCATATCCGGCGGAGGCGGGTGATTCGGGTCACGTATCCCGCCAGCCACGGACAACGGCGCATATTTATTTATATATTTATTTCTTCTACAATGTGTCGCGTCCCGTGCTGAATTCAGAATAATGCCCTGAAAATGTTCATGTGCGAATCGCCCCTATTTAATCAAGTTCCTTTCGTCGCGTCTGTACGTTGCATTTTTTGAATATAGAATAGAAAATTCAAAGATATATTTTTATTTGTATACCCATGCATATGCAAAACAGTTTTAAAATGTTTATAGATTTATAGGGAAAATAAAAACAAGGTGAACATATTTGTGTTTCTTCTTTGTATAGGGATATTATGCTTAGCTCTGCGTTGGACGTAGTAGGTAAAACGATACGTTCAAACTAGGCAGTTACTTTAGCGATATTCATTTTGATTAATAAGAATTGTAAATGTTAATAAATGTAATGGATAATACAACAAATAAATAAATAAATTATAGTTTTTGAAATAAAACACTTTAACGGTTTAAACGCGATTTTACTTAAACTTATTTTTTAAAATACGTTTAACTGATATTAAGTACTACTATTACTAAGTGTTTTATTTAAATGTGCACCACTTACGTAAACTACAGACAGTATTAAAATAATAGCTGAAATTCTTTTGTGTTGTCGGCCTTATTTACGTGTTCATTTGGAAAGGTACAAAGTAACGACTTTATTCAGCACGCTCATGTCAAGTCGATAATTTTTTGGAACAGTGTAGCACGCGAACTTCGGAAGCCGGAACTGGTGACATTCCAGACAGCTGTACAGCTGTATCGCTGAACTAGAACATTCTGGAACACGACACGATTGTTTGCGCAAAAATACCTCAACCCACACCCTAAACAAATATGCTAAGAACATTTTCGGAGTTTTGGCTTAGTACATTTACTACGATTGGCATACAAATTCTTTGTTACATCTCCAACATACAATAAATGGCTTTCTATAACAACTATGAACGAACAAATGTTATGTAAATTAAAGTAAAATAAAAACCAATTCTTTTTTTTTTCATTTTATAACCAGTCGAACTAAGCTGTGATTGAACTTAGAACGAAGGAGTTTATTCTTAATCTGTCTTTATCTTTTTATCTTAAATATAAACAAGTAGAATTTTTGAGAAACTTAGAAAAACATTCACGTAAGCATTTCTTAATTAATATCAAGAAAATCATTTTATGTTAAATTTTACCAACGGCCCAACGTTTTTGGTACTTTTCTACAACCATGGAGGAACCGCGGCTACGGTTGCGCAACATTTTAATTTAAATATTCTTTGCTTTTAAACGTAAAAGTGTATTTACAAACTACAACTTCCCTAAACGTCGTTTCCTAAAGAATGTTAAGTAGCGTCTATACATTACGTGAGTTGTAAACATTAAATAAAACATCTTTAAACGGTTTAAACTGCGTCTACGAAGACTGCTACAGCAAAGTATACACGCGTCGGTTTGTAGTAAATAATCATTTAACTCAAGTAATTTTCCATTGTAAACCATTAATAAGAAAAACTGTAACTTAAGGACGTTGTTTTGAATAATAATTACTTATATACGCATTTTCCACTCACACTATAAAATGCCACATACTAAATTAATTTTCACTGTTATCAGGTGACATAGAACATGATATACTTGTTGTGATATTAGACCAATCCTTTGTGCCGATATACGGGCACAAACAAAGAGCTGCCGAGAGACTTGCGTTGGGGCTATGAAAATTTATTGTCTAAAAATTTCAATACTTGTTTTCACGTGCTCTGCTAACAAAATTGTGTAATGACATAATATTAAGATGTACATTAATGGCATGTTAGACGTGGAAAAGTTTTTATTCTATATCTTTTATAAAAAGCAATAACGTTAACATAGCCTAAGAAATGCAAACATTTAAAATAAAAGAAAGAATATAAAAATGTCGTTCGTTATTGTCTTGTCTGTTGACTTGGTTAAGGCCTTGTCTTGGGAAATAAAAATTCCCTGATTTTTTAAAGAAACCTAGAAAATCACCATGCAATAAGGATAATCAATGTGTAGGAATATACAATATAAAAATATTTGAACTTCATTATAATATGGCCTAAAAAACATTAATATTTTATCTCCTGTATCTGCTGTATAAAATAAAAGTTTATACTCGAATTTGATAGCGTAAATGCGGTAGATATATGAATCTATATCCTCAAATCCAGTGGCTCCATAGGTTCACATCTCAGTTATAAGAGGGTGGATTCTTATTTCCGGTTCTGTAGCGTGACGTCACGTCCGCTGGCTGATAACCGCGGGAACATGGAAATGTCGCGGGTTTTGTGACACAATACCGTGTTTTAGGTCACTTCATTTGTGGAACTTTTGGTCTTGCCTCAAATTCTAGATTTCAGTGGAAAATATGTTTCTAGACCTTGTAAAATATTACAAATATTCTTGGGTTTGGATGAAAATGTTTTGCGAAATCTTAGCTAAAGTATTGTCTGTTGTTAACGCGAGTATGAACAATTTAAATAAAATGCTTTTTACAGTTTTTAACACAACATGTAGTATGTATTTAGTAAACGTATTTTAAATACATCGTCGCAGTTCAAATAACTGTCGCGTTTTAAACCGTTAAACGTGTCGTCTTTAATTCCTAACTTGAAAAAAAAATCTGTAAAAAAGTTCACGATATTTTAATTGGTAGAGTGGGGGTAGTTTTTCGTTATGGATTCGAGTCCCGCTTTCGTTAACAACTTATACAAACCTTTTTAAATACTCTTTAAAGGATAAACGTAGAGACTATATTTTGAAATTGTATTTATAAATGATATTTTTCTCTCACGATTGCCTTTGATGTTGTGAGATATTAACTTACAAAATATATTTCTTTATAGACGTCGATAGCTGGAAAATAATATATTTATCTTTACATTTGTATTGAAATATCTGTTCTGAATTTTAATGGGATTGCCATTAGGCAAATATTTATGCATTACAGGCCGAACACACGACCTATTCTGACCTCTGCTATCAAAAGATTTCAGAGTTCAGCATCGTGTTTGTGAAACATGTTTTCGAATTTATGAAGCAGATTTATTTGTTTATTTAACAAGATTTATTTACAATTAATGATACTACGCTCTCGGGGTCAAGTTTATAGACCCTATAATATTAATTGTAATTTTATTATTATAGCAAAAGGGTTATTTTTATATCATTCAGTAAATTTCATTTAAGGTTTTTCTGATTGAAAATCCGTGAAGAGTGGTATTATGCGTTTCCGTCTCGGTTCAAATGAGAAAGTCATGTGACTAGGGCTTTTACCTAACAGCGATCTGTCTAACAATGTGACTGATGCAATAATATTTTTATTTTGCATATATATCAAGTGTCATTAATTTTAAACTAAATAATTGATGGGTTACAGCTTAATAAGCTATGTCTAATTCTAGATTTAAAACTAGAAATGTGTGCTTTTTGTATAACGTAGATATAAAAAAGTTTGCCTGAAAGATATCGCTTGTTAGTGATAAAACCGTTTGCCATTGCACTCCATATTTTTAGTATATAAGTCTCATTTGTATTTTTTGTTACCTTTTTCTTAACTTTTGTATAATAAAGTCTTAATTAAATAAAATAAACAAAAAAGGACACCCGTGACTACGGTTGCTGCAAAGCATCTGAAACGTCGGGCCAAAGGTAAAAATAATTGTCAAATTAGTTTAACTAATATATATCGCGTTTTAATCCCTTAATGTGTTTTATTTAAAAAAGGACACTATGCCCTTTTGCTTCAGTCAACTTCGACTTCTACAAAAATAGAAATAACAATGCTTTTTACACTTTTTTAGTTTTATTAAATTGTTTTATATTTTGTCCACAGGTTTGGGCGTCCTTCCAGCAGTGAGTGGGGTAATGGACCGAGTTGAAAGGCCGTACTTCGATGATGTGTCGCCGCGTAACGTCTCCGCTGTGGTTGGCCAATCGGCGGTTCTGCGTTGTCGCGCTAAGCATATAGGCAATAGAACAGTAAGTAGCGGAATTTAGATTTTACGAAAACTTAAGCAGCAAAAATGGCAATAAAATCTACTATTATTGCGTTCTGTATTTAAAATCAATGTAGTAAGAAATATGATTTTTTCTACTGAAAAAATCTCAAATTAAAAGGCAACTAATTAAACGTTATTCTGCAAAAATAGATATGTAACTTTTATTACCGTGATCTACTATTTACTTTTTTGCTTTATTATATTTCAATCCTACAAATTATTAATAATATAATAAGATTACCGTTTTAAATTGATATTGGCGTTATAGAATTGTCTATTATTACCACAACACTGTATCTTTTTGTAATAGACAATTTGGACCTCCTTCGCAGTAAATGAAAGTTATATCCCACCATTTGCGCCCTCGATTCCGTCTGTTAATGCAATTGTCAGACATACAGCGTGATGGATAGCGCTAGTATATCAACTGGCCACTGCTGTGGTCGTCTTGCTGATTTTATGGAGCCTTTAATCAATTTAAGCTCACCTATAAATTTTGAATATTGTCCCATATTTAGGAGACCATAGATCTAGGTTTCAGAATTCATGTAATTTTGTATATACAGAATTTCGGTAAAATAAAAAAAAGAGATTAAACTTACTTGCGTTTCATATTATTTAGTATTTATATTATTAATTTGCAATCAAATTTATTCTCTAGCTTTTGCTATTTGACCTAAATGTAGCAATAATCAATGTGACGTAGGTATTGCTACGCGTTATTATTTTGTATGTTTTAAGGTAGTTATAGGTATGGTATATTGTTTTTCAAGTAATGATAAGCTGTATAATTTTGCATCAATTAAGATTGTCCAACGTCTAAATAGGTCGGCAGCAGATCTTCGTTTTACAGAGCTAGGGCATTTTAATTTTACCAAGAGGACGCCATGCTTGCCTGTTCTCTACTGCACATTAAAATCACATTTGTTTTCCCTTTGTGAACAATAAAAAAAGTTATTCTTAATTCATAAATAAATTTACGACTTTTAAAAACGTTGAAATCTTAAAGACAAACGATTTCTTAGCCACCAGAACTTTCGTCCCTGAAACTTAAATTGAAATATAGGGCTTGAAGCCGCCCAGCGCGAAATTAATCTTAATGTAATTTATGTATTATCCTCCTTCGTATTTACTTTGTAATGTGGCGTTGCGAGGAAGTTATAATCATTGTAACAAAGAAAATCTCACCGAATAAATTGGATTGTTTTTATTTACCTCTACACTATGCTACCTTTCATTCCTTGGAAATTGCAATTAATTTTACAATGGCTGAGTATAAAATTGTTCTTTTGTTTCTTCTCTTTTAATAGAGTTGTCCACGATTTATCATTTGGATAAATGCCATTAAAAGTCTCTTTATATCCATAAAAGTATTTTTTTTTTCAGATAATATGTCATTGCTACCGTGACAATACAAAAAAATACTTAAATTATTTAAGGTTAGATGTCGTTATTCTATATACCCGGACTGAACGGAACCCTTCGTGTCAAAATCCAACTCGCACTTTGCCGCTTTCTTGTTTCACGTAAAACATTCTTCTCTATAAGGTCGAAGTAAAAAATTGTCACAAGCACCCGAGGGCTGAACATCACACCCGAATCCCTTTCAAGAACTCGTCAAGCCCTTTTCTTATCTCCACCTGCAGACTACAATATCATTTTTCACTGTCGATCCATCCCCGCTCCGCTGACCGCCATATTAATGGGGAAGGGATCAACACCCGTATAATATCGCCGAGACGTTTGAGATATTGCTATACAGATCGAAAATAATGTAAAAATTTGTTGGGCTATAAATAAACAAATTCAGCGTAGGAGGCCTTCTTATCTCTTATCTTTTTTACGATAGCGGTAGATAGACAAGCCTGGTGTTCACCTTATGGAAGCTGAAGTACCTCAGCAGAATTTAAACGAAATGCACTGTCGACTTATTTTGGCTTTGGAAATTCGGAATCCATAATCTGCAAAATGCGATTAAACTTCACGGCTTTTCCACGTGTAGACGGTGATTCGTGACCCGGACGGAATTTCATTCCTACCACCTATTTAATGTCCGAATTACCAAACGAAGATTTTTATACATTTCAGAAAAATTATAAATTGATAAGAAAAATTTTGTTATTATTAGGTTCGTGGTATTGTTTTTGTATAAAATAAATGGAAAGAGGCAAACTATCTGAACATGTGTATATATTACGTTTGTGTTAGAAACAAAATCAAAATGTAACGTAGTCTTAATATATTAATAAACTCAATCTACTTAAAAAAAATGATTAACATTTTTTAAAGATTGTCAAATGTATTAATGAACTCATTTTAACCACGGCCCAAAGTTCGGATATTTCGGCGTTTTAAAAAAATAACTTTTGTCAGATTTTACGCGAGTAGTTCAATTAAAAAAACACTTTAACGGTTTAAAAGAATTTAGTAAACATTTGAAAAATTGCAGCAGCCACGGGCGGTAAATTTTTAAATGTTTTATTTAAAAAACTTTAGTAATACACTCGCTTAAAATACAGACTTGTACTAGTGTACTTGTACTAAAGAGGAAAGGTTTGAAGATTATTTAAAATGCTAACTCTGTTTATTCCATAATACAATGGCTTAAGACAATTCACTAAGTATTATCATAAAAGCGCTCAATCTTCAAATGCAGCCTTAAAAACTCGCTCTGCCTTAAGTTTTATTATTTTAAAGACTGTAAAGTTCCCTCCATTTTGCTTAATTACGACTCGAGCCTCACTAATTACATACAAAACAAAAACCTAACAAAGGAATGAATTTATTTTCGTAATTTCACCGAGCCTCGAATTAAAAATATAATTTGGCGTTTATTGTTGTAATTTTAATCAAAGGGCACGTCTTAAATCTTCTCAGCGGATTTGCTGAGAAATGCTGATTATAATTGTTTACGCTTTAATTAAATATTTCTTTGCTTCATTGTCGGTTAAATTTCGCGAACGTAATTCGTGTTATTTGACATTTATAAATGGGGTCAATTTATTTACCGAAGGCATGAATAGATACAGAACATTCTTATTCTATTTCTTATTTAAATATACAAAGCCTTAACAAAGTGACGTTTTATTCACCCAAAAAAAGACATTAATAGATACAGAACACACGACTATTCTTAAACAGCGATATAAAAGACCAATTCGTAAATTTTTCACGGTGTTGTACTTTCTATAATTTTTTTTTTTAATATGAAGGAGGCCCGCCATTTTTTTTTATATGAAGGTCTATAGTCACTCATGGGGTGCATTTGATGGTACGTGAAATACGGTAGCACAAAATATCAAAACAAGATGCGCTATCGGCCTATTTTGATATTAAGCGAATATCCAAAGCCAAAGGATAACGGGCAGATTTGTTTAACCAATACATATCGTGCGTTTCAAACCGTTAAAAGTGTTTTATTTTAATAGTGTATGTCTATTTTCTACCCAGGTATCATGGATGAGGAAGCGAGACCTCCACATCTTGACATCTCACATCTTCACCTACACGGGAGACGCCCGCTTCAGCGTTTTACACCCAGAGCCATCAGATGACTGGGACCTAAGGATAGACTACGTGCAGCCCAGAGATGCCGGGGTCTACGAGTGTCAGATTAATACGGAACCGAAGATTAACATGGCAGTTGTGCTTAGCGTCGAAGGTAACTAAATTGGTACTTTTGTAGAGGAATGGCATTTTAGAACGACACATTATTAATCTAAATACTGTCTATAGTTTACGCGAGTAGTACACATTTAATGCTTCCGCAATTTTATAGTTTAATTTGATATAATTAAAGCAGAAGTTTAAATTTATTTTCAAATAATTTTAACTAATATAAGGCGTTTTAAACCGTTAAAGTGTTTTATTTAAATTATTAATCTTTGTTTTTGAATATTTGGACTTTTTTGATTCAAATTTGTGGCCTAAAATGTGCGTTCTCTAATACTAAAAGCTTTGCTCTAGTATTCTAGTATCCATTATTATATTTTAAGATAAATTAGTTTTATTTTTAATTCAATCACAAATCTCACTTCCTTGTTGAAGTGTCTATAAAAAATTTCTCTCTTTTCTGCTTTTATAGAAGCAAATGTTTTAGTTTGAATAGAAAGACTAGAACCTCATCCGTAGCGTGATCCCACTAGCTATAAAATTTACATTTATTATTCTTTTAAATTGAAGTAGATAATATTTAAAAAGCACCGACCATTTTAAATAAAATAAAATTTTAAATTACGCAATACATGAAAACATTTTTAGGCCGCTGTGGCCCTAACAGATAATGACCACTGTAATGTAGTAATTATGTAACTTACACTAATATTTCACGTTTTAAACGGTTAAAAGTGTTTTAATATTAAAAAAAAAAACAGAAACTGTTCCCAAATTGGCAAACGTTCATAAAAATATCTTGTTTCAGTAAATATGAAAGTATTATTGTACGCCAGTAATATCTTGACTAAATAGAAAGGTAATATATGAAAGTGGGAGATAGCAGAAGTTGGGACGAGCGTATTGAGCACGTAGAGGTACGTGATACCGTTCCAAATTAATGGCAGGCTGCTAACTCCAATATCTAATACACGCTAGCTATCTGTTACATTCGCATTCATTAGATAAACTGACGGCAGTTTCATCTTTGCCAGCCGTGTAATGGAAACTTTTCTTCACAAGTACAAGATGCTTATAGATAGTAGAATTTTAACGTTCCAAATATAAATTAAAGAACTAGTTTAATAATATAGGACAGACACAGAAGGTGAAAACCCAAAGTCAAAACAGGTCGATAGCGCATCTTATGTATTTCACCTCCCATCAAGAGGACCCCATATTTATCTGTCCTCCTCTATCATTAAAAACATACCCCAGCCATATAAAACTTAAATACGATGTTGTTGTTGACCTATTCTCATATCGGACATTTGGAAATTCAATTGATAACGCAATTAAACTTCATGGCTTTTTCATCTGTGGGTAGTGGACCCGGACTGGATTTCGATGTTACCACCTATTTTATGTGCAGATTTTCAAAACAAAGTTTCAGACCCGTTGATTATTACCAATTCATTGCTATCATTAAACTAACGAGCCCGTCGTTTTATTCTGTATAGTAGTTGATTTTTCACGTAAGAAAAAGGATAGTGTATTTTTATATGCAGAGAGAGTTGCGAATGTCTGACATGAAAAGTGAGATAAACGTAATCTGACATTCATCTCTCGTCATATTAGGGGGAGGCTAATGCCACGATACAAACTACGGCCCATTACTCTCCTATATCAAGCTGGGTGTACGCCAGCCGCTGGTCGTGGAGGCCTGATCTATGGCCAAATATGTTTCGTCATTCTTTAAATCCCCTCTATCTTGATGTTCCAACGGAACAGACATCACGCAGATACATCGTATCTGCACGAGCTAGAATTTTTTTACACCAAGCCAAATATGTAGAAGTGCTACGAAATTCGAATTAAAAAAATAAACAATACCGCTGCTGATAATAAAATTCACAAAAAGAACATTTTTAACGGATTAAAACACGCTTTTTTTCATAAACGCTAAAAATCTCTTAATTTTCGAAATTTGAATGGCTAACTGTTTTTCGGGTCAAAATTGAATAGTTGAATGATCAGAAGTCACCCTAAGTACATATATATGTATAGTTAAGTTTGTTTCAAAGCATGTAAAAACTATAACAGGTCTTAATTATGGATTTCTGAGTGCCAATATTAAAATATGTTAACGCAACACCTTCGTACAGTGTGTCACACGTTTGCAAGCGAACTTCGCGCTCGACTGATTGACACAAAAAATACGAGGTTACTATGTTGAAAAACTAAAAATTTTCCATTTAAACTGTAGAAAACTAACAACTCTCTTGGGAGACGGCAAACAATCAATCAACGCTGTAATTGGGTTACACGCAGACATTTTTACAGACACGGGTATAAAGCAACCTCAGTTCATAGCAAACATATTAACAATGCATTAGAATAGTCCAGATAATTTATAGTTCAACTTATACAGTGTGTATTTCAGAAACTAAATTTACACTTTAATAGTTTTTTACTAACAGCTACTTTCAAAAAAGGGCTTTGCTTAAAAGAAATCTTGAACCGGCATCCACAGTGTTTCGTGTTCAAAATAATTGAACTACCGTGTCTGACCAATAGAGCAATAGCACGGAACGCTCCAAATACTGGTTCAAGTCTTGACCGTGTCGTAATATTTGTTTAATTTAAAATGATATTAAACAATATTAAAGTGTAAATTGTTACTTCGCCTAATTTGTCTACCGGCAAAGGCCTCCTCAAATTTCTTCCACATTTCTCTTCCTTTTGATATTTTCCATCTATTCAGTAGATACCCCTCCCGTTCCTTGAATTGACATCCTCCTTCCCTTTCCGTTCTTTAGACACTTAAATATAATAAGATAAATTCCACAAAAACCCCATTGATATTATCTTAGCTAAAATATCGGTAGTACAACTAAAGCTTTTAGAAATATCAAACGAGATTGTAATCAAAGAACATTTTATATATACATAAATATACAGCATCGGTGTCGCAAAGCTTGAGATTCTACTTGAATAATTAAAGGACTGACGTTGGAGTTGAGAGTAAAGATTAATTGGTCTTTAAATTATGATTTTAAAGGGTATATTAATTTAATTATTCATTTACTAACATTACATTGATTAAATGATGAGAACATATACAGTGAGTACAGAAGGAAATTAATTCACGGATATTATGACTCAATAGAAATAATTTAATTTAAAAGTGTCAACTGTCCGTGAATTCTTTGCCAGAGGTACAAAACCCCCAAACCATTTACCAACATCGCGCGATTGATGCTTCACTCAAAGGGTTTTGTTTCAAAATAATTTTGCTGAAACGTCGAGCAAATAGCATAGTTTTTATATTCGTCATTTGTTAACACCACCGCAATTTGCAACAGGAGCGACGCTTTACATTATATCCAGCGCTTCTCGAATGCCGGCAATTACAGCGCTCGTTACGCTGAAAAATAACCGATCTGAGCTAAGTGTCTGTATGTATCGCAACGTTCATACACGCTAACAAGTGTGTTTACGAGTATATGTATATAATGAGTGAAATGTTTCAAAAAAATAATAATAATAAAAGATGTGACAAGAATAAACGTTCGACGTTCTTAGGTCTTGTCTTTAGTTCACACCTGAACAAAAAGTGGATAGAAACGTTGTTAAAAGTTACAATTATCATCTACTAAATACTTTGGTGAAAATACATGAATATGAGTGCCGTAAATTAAATTTATTTAGCTTATCAATACATTGTTATTTAGCAGTAGATGAGCATTAATTCCAAATAGCGCCCAAAATTATATAATTTACTATTTTTCTCTATACTGTTAACAATACTTTAATACTTTTCATTTCTATTTTCAAAAACTTTCATCTATATTGAAATTTAAGTCAAAACGGTTTGTTGGGTACAATAAATAACAATCAATTATATTATTTTATATTTTGTATTTTTTGTTTGTAATATAAACATGCAATCCGTAGTGGATATTTTTAAACTGACATTACCTCAAACCACTACCACTTCTAAGCAGAGAACTAATTTGAACTTTGTAATAATTTTCTCCATCAGCAAGCGCTGTAGAGAGGTACTAGATATTTAATATCATAATAAATAACTGGAAAGTAGACACTTCAAGTTATTAAAGTCCTGTTAATTCTATTTTTCAACAAGGACATATTTAAATAAAACTCGTTTGACAGTTTTAAATCCGAAATATTAGTAAACTTATATTTTAACTACGACCCGACAGATTTTATGCTTTGCTATCTATTAATCGTGCACTTGCACATTTTGCTTTTGCACGGAACAAGTAGAAGCTCCGCCTTAGTCGGCAAAGCGATTTTGCATACGATCGACGCCGGCGCAGGCTGATCTCAACAACTTCTAAAATAATATAGTAAAATATTGCATGGAAATATTAAATCTAACAAACAAATCCAAACTATTCAGGAATGTCTTTTAGATTAACTTTTGGGTCATTTAAAAAATTCGACCAGAACTGAATTTTTATATATAGTATTCTATATATCTTTAAAATAACATATATATAAAAAAATATCGGCAACCCTTTACTAAATTAAATAGCATAGTTTATTGGTTTTTTGTCAAGGCTTCTTTAGTATGTAGAATTGATGCACTTCCCTCTCCTAAGCTATTGTGTTGTGCATTGCAGATGAGTCTTACACCTCCGAGCCTCAGCAACCGCCCCGCTCCTCAGGTACCTATTCCTTATTCCTGCTTGCATGTGAGGGTGCTTAAAGAGTGACTTTGTTATGAAAGCAGTTTCTTAGTATAAGATAATATAACAATCAATTAAAAACGCGTATAATTTGTTTTGACACTTATATGTGGTTATATGCCATATCAAATTTTATAAGTGTGTACTGTACACAGTCACTCTTTGAATATCAAATCTGAATTATCAAAAGCCTTAGTTTCTCATTTCAACATATATATGTGAGCTTAGATATATCATGTCCATATGTTGCTTTTTCTTAATCGGCATAAGCTTTTTTTATAATTCCAGAATGTTTTTTGCATGGCATTTCACGCGATGATATATGTTGGGACGTTAAAAAGTCAACAAACCCTCCGTTACATAATAAAGAAATAACCTCGTAATAAGATTCTTATATGGCAGAATTAAAATACGTTTGAAGCCATCGTGAAAGGGAGGCCCTTTCTGTGGGATTATTATCAGTGCTTTTGAAATTATCATTCAAATAAACGTAATGAATGCTTTTCACAATCTATGCAAATACTTTGACATCGTAAAATATTTACGCTTACTTAAATAAGTAATATAGCTACGTAAAACATGAAAGGGAAACACAGGCGAGGTATAAACAGATTATTTTCTTGAAAGGAAAAAGTACTATAAGTTTATTACGAGAAAATATAAGGAAACCAATGGAACTCTACGATGAAGTTATTACAACTCACCTAACTGAAGTACTGACTCTAGTTCTTAGATTTTTATTGTATTCTAGCTACAAGCATTTACTAGCGAGAGATATTTATTTTTGGGAGTGTTTAAATAATTTATTTTGATATGGTTAGTATGCCTAATAAACAACAGGCCTTGGGTTCATTCCAAAGTGGTAAATATTTCGTCGTCGAAATATGTTAGACTACGTATAGAAAATATACATATTACATCGTATTAAAACACCCTTATAACCTATCTATAGTAATATTATAAAGCTGAAGAGTTTCTTTGTTTGTAAATTATTTTTGTATTGGTCGTACCATTTATCGAGAAAGACTAGAAAACATGGGTCAGCGAAAAATAAGCAAAGAAACAAAGGAAAATGTGGAAAAAAAAAAACAAAAAATATTAATGTTTCAGAGTTTCATGCACCGCGATAACGATTAAAACAATATGTAGAGAAGAATTATTCTTCTTTGAACAATGTTAAACAATGTCTGTTTAGTCCTCTGATTTAAAAAAAAATGTTTGTGTCAAATTGTGTGTAATATTTAGTCCCCTTGAAAGATGTGGAGTGCTTTTTGGAATTCACCATAGGTATATAAAAACGAACATAGTTTTGGAGTTACAGTATAGTTTTGGTGTATAAATGCTTTTGTCAACAGCGGCGGCCGCCACAATCTGGGGTTCGCAAGACGTATACGTTAAAAAGGGCAGCACGATATCCCTTACTTGTTCTGTCAATGTGCATTCCTCGCCACCATCCAGTGCATCAGTTCTATGGTAAGCTCTCAATATTTATTTTATTAATAATATATTTGTTTTATATATTGTTTTAATTATGTAACAAAACAATTATTATTTGTTTACGTAAGTATCAACTTTGACAGATCATTTAACGACTAACAAAAACCGCCGCCTTTTTATATAATAAAATTTAAATAAAAAGCAGAGTTGTGTGTCTTTGTGATCAATGCTATTATCTAAGTTCCTAATAATAAAACAATTGTGGTTCAATGTTTTTAGTACAGGTATGATATAACTTGCCGTATCAACGTGGTTATTTTTAGATCATATCTCGTAAAAAATCTCGCTCTAATATATGTAGTAGTATGGAATATAGCAATCTTTATTAAGATGCTAATCAGTCAGACCATAATTATGCTTGCTGACATTTTATTATAATAAGGTTAATTTTGAGGAAAGTAGAGACTCCCTTTGCTGCAGATTAAATTCGATAAGCCAGAATCCCTTAAGATTTCTTCAAGGCAAATTACTTAAGCCAATTTGTATTTATAAACCTTTCTCTAAACCTTCATGACAAGATGATAACCCGACAAAGGTTGTGTTCAAATATTTATGAATTTTCTGATAGCATCTTGAGAGGAAACGACGCGATGACTTTTCCCGAGATGCTTAAGTTTTTGTTTCGAACAATTCCATTAAAATCAAGGAAGAGGTGACATATCTTACAAATTCATCGCAAGGATTTGTTTTAGGTATCATGGCAATGCCGTGGTTGACTTTGATTCTCCGAGAGGTGGCATTAGCCTAGAGACAGAAAAGACGGAAGGTGGTACTACTAGCAAGCTGCTAGTAACTAAAGCCGCCCTTACAGACTCCGGAAACTATACATGTGTACCGAATAATGCCCATCCAGCTTCGGTGTCCGTTCATGTACTTAATGGTAAGTTAAAAACGACATCTCAGCTTTAATATACTGTATATGTTTTACGTATTTTTATAGCACTATAATTTAATCGCTGTTTGTTAAAACATAAAATTTTGGGGGTACTTTGTATGAAGTAGGAATCCAATAAGATGGACCCGATATAGTTTATAAATAATCATTAAACTTAAGCATGTGTGTAGTACACACGACATAAAACAATTTTGGTTATTTAAAATACGAAATAATATAACTTACATATATCCCGACGTTTCTGATGTTTTGCAGCAGCCATAGTCTCGGGGGAACACTACCTGAAAAACATTAACATAGGTTAATAAATATGATTCGCAATTGAAACCGTTAAAAGTATTTTGTATACTCATTTAATTTAATAATCATTACATGATCGACATTATGTAATCCAACAAATAATTATAGAGAAAATAATATTATTCGAGCTGTTTCAAATACGCTAAGCCTATATAACGCCAAATTGTATTGTATCTGTTATACATTAACATGTTCATATTTGCAGGCTTATAATAATAATTGTTCTATTAGATTACGCACGCAATAAGGCAATAAAGCTTATTAGTTAAATTATTGTGTTCGTTTATGCATAATTAAGCATGGCCTAGCAAATTTTTATTGCATACTGTGATGAACAACGCATTGCATAATATTAGTGCTAAATACTGTCTGTAGTTTACGCGAGTAGTACACATTTAAATAAAACACTTTAATGGCTTAAATATATATAATCGTTAAACTTATTTGAAAACCGCGTTTTAAATCGTTAAAGTGTTTTATTTGAATATTAGTTCTATTTTTGTATTAATTTGATCTCTAATTGTTTGACTGCTTCGAGTGTATTATTTGTAGAGGCTACGTATCTGCTACGGACTGCTACGTTCGTAGCACAGTATTTTGTAGAAGAGCAAAGTACTTTTCATTGGTATTTCAAATCATACTTTATATCACTGTCAGTTTCAAAAGTAGTTTTACTGTCGTAATCTGTTAATATTAATTGGTCATTATATGTTATCATAAAAAAGTGAAATCCCGTTTCCCCTCGTGGGGTATATGGCGAACACATTTCTGGGTCCGTTTCACTGATTGATTTACAAGCGAGTAGTTGATCAGACTTCTGTGCCCTGCCCGACCGAAACAATTATCTGTTTCCTCAGGATTCGAACCCAGGACCTCTCGCACTTAACGCAATGCTAGGCAACACGTTTAACCACTTAGCTACAGAGGCGGTTGATATATGTTAAAGTATTTTTTTAAAACTGCACATAATAGTGTATACCTATAATTAAATAGAGTTCAGAAAGTAATAGATGCTTATTTTTTCACCAATAAATAAAATTATTGGAGATTTTTTTAAACTTGGACTTTGTTGGTAATGGGGTCCTGAGTGTGAATTGATGTTTGATGATTCGTCGTTTCTTCATATCTCTTTAAATACTGCATTTACAAGTTAAATAATATATAGTTTAGTGAGTTGGTACTCTAAAATAGATTTTTGATTACTGTTTCAATTTTTTGTTCCCAGGTGAACACCCAGCCGCAATGCAAACGAGCAACCGGGCGTCCTCCTACCTTACGTCCCAACTCAGCTGTGCATTGTTCACCTATTTGCTCTCGTCAATGGCTGGCAGATGATCACTCTTTCCATAGACATATTGAGATGGAACTTTTGTTATTAAGAATAAATAGTACTTCTATTTTGTGTTATTTATTTATATTATTTTTTTTATATTTTACTGATAGTTGCGAATGACACGACCAAATAAAAACCCTTGAGATATTATAGAGTTCGATAAAGAAATATAACAAATATCGAATTAAACTCGGAAGCAATAAATTACTTAAGAATACCTCAGAAGCTAAGATTGCGCTGTCAATAAAATAAATTGTCATTAGTAGATAATTGACTAATTCTTAAATCAATGTATTAAAAAATAAAGTTCTGATCGCGTCTTAGGACAAAAAATAAAATAACTAAAATTATTAATCAGCTATATTATTTTCTTGAATTTAAATAAAGCACTTTAACGGTTTAAAACGCGGTAAATATTAGTTAAACTTATTTTTAACTTCGGCCCGGCGTCTTCACATGACCACGGCTGTTGCAAAGCGTTCGAAACGTTGGGCTGAAGTAAAAATATTTTTCAAATAAATTTAAGTAATATATGTATATCGTAAATACTGTTTATAGTTTACGCGAGTAGTATACATTTAAATAAAACACTAACCGTTTAAAACGCGATATATTAGTTAAACTTAACCACGACTGCTGCAAAGCAATGCAACTAATATATCGTGTTTTAGATTGTTAAATGTGTACTGACCGCGTAAAGTACAGACAGTATTTAATTTTCTTAAATTGTTAATTTTTTGTATTTCCTCGTTGAAGTTCAGTTTTTTTGATTTGGATTGCTGTCGAGTTCTATTTAGTATTTGGCCGACTAAATCGAATTATAATAAATTCGGTTATTTATTATTAAATCAAACGCGTGCCGCAGAATTAAATATTTAACTCAATTCATCTATTATCATAACATATTACAGTTTCATAAAATTTCCTGCCAGTTTGTAGCTATTTTAAATAAATTATTATTAGTTTGTGTTGTTACGTGTCTAATATTTAATAATTGTCTCGTTTATTTGATTACGAACATTTCGTTTTCATTAACTTTAAAATTGCTTTATGTTTAAAATTAGTATTTAAAATACAAAATATTCATCTCAAATAACGGATTAAGGTTATATATAAGAGAGATAGTACTTGCAAGTATGATAAGTCAGACAAACTTCGAATTCTTTTAACATTTGATCTTCTTATAGTTCACAACACAAATAAAGTTAATTCACATTACGCACAAGCAATTATCGAATGTATGTTATTCAAGATAACATCTTATATAGTGTGCTACGTCATTGAAAAATCATTGAATCAATTAAACTAATAATATTTTTTATTATTTTACCCTGCATTTAAAGTATGTTGGTGAATCATGTCAGATCATAAATTGAGACAATTACCAATCTCTTCAAGAAGAGACAATAAAAAAAGAACCTAATTTATTTTATTCATATTAACTGAATGATATAAGAAGATCTTGTGTTATTTTTAGGTTAAATGTCGACGTGATTCCAAAGTATAACGCCCACTCCATCTTGCTTTTTAAATTAGTTTGTGTTGGAGTTTTCCTACTAAGCAGGGCTTGTTAGTAAATTGTAATCACGTCCTATGTATGAAAGTTAATCGTTAAACAGAGTATTGAAAAATCTTAGCTCACTAAGTACTGGAAATATGTGATATTATTTTACATTGTTATTCAAATAGATCTAGCAGATCTAATGAAAATTTTCACATCCCTTCAATCGCTTAAGCATACAATAAAATGCTCTTTCAGGACACTAACAAAATATTGTTTTTTATGAAATTACAGGATGCTGGAGGGTATTCGAAATATGTACTCATATCTTAGGTTAGTTGGTGTCCTAGAAACAAGATAAATTAATACTTATTTAAATACAAAAAGTATCTCTTTCGTGAAATTACTTTGCATAAGATGATAATTGAAATTTTTTAATATCTATATAGACTTCATGGTCTAAGTTACAACTATATTCCACTTCTTTACAATACGAATTTGCGAAGATCAAAAATGCCAGTTTGTAAATAAAATAAATACGTAAAATAGTTATACGCGTTGTACATAAATTAATTGTTGTAAATAATAATTATTATGAGTTATTAGATGCAGTTGAAATTATTGATTTGTTCTTAGAACAGTATATTAAAATAATAGTAGATGAATAAGGAGGATCTCTTTTGGACTGTGGTTGGGTTTTCAAAACCTTTCACTCTCGTTGAATTTTATTTTTGTCTATTAATAATAATCAGACTTCTCAAGGATTTTAGTGTTTAGTTTGAAATATATTTTTATTACTTATCTAATATTGTACCATTCTTAAATAAATATCACGAAATAGAAGATTAAAACTATTTGGAAGGATAATGCAGCAGTTTTGTAAGAAAGCGAAATAAATAGTAGTGCGCGAGTCAAACTGCTCTTGTGCTGGGCTTCCATTGTCTTTCCCGGTAAATAAAGGCAGGAGACAAAAGATCAAGAGTATGCCGGTTTGGGAAAGATTTCTCATTAATACAGAAATACAGGCTGGTTAAGCCGGCGCTGTTCTTAAACTGTGTTTTGTTTTTCCGTTTTGAAAATATTTTCTCCTCTGTTCAAAGAAGATATACTTTAAACAATGCAATGACTTACCAAGTGTAGTTTACACTAATAAAGGGGAAAAGAGATTCTCATAGTTTAATTAGGATATAATGACAAATAAATTAAATTATTGCTAAAATTCTATCGACTGTTTTCATAAATTAATCTTTTATTATTGTGTTAACATTTCGCGTTTTTAATTACGCTTCTTTCTTAAGAATATAAACTAAATAATGAGAAGTTTATTTCAATGAAAAAAAAACAATTTATGATGTGTTATGTAAACTTTTGTACGTCTAAGACATGCAATAAGGGACGACTTCGTTGAACAAGTCTTAGAGAGCAATAGAAAAGTTTTGAAAGAAGCGTAACTGCAAAACCGATTAAACCTCTTTCCATAAAGTCTTGTAAAGTAAAACCTTAACATAGAAGTAGATAATCGTAAATAGCTATGTTCCTTAGTAGCAATTATATATGAAGCTCGTTTGTACGTATGTACGTTTTTAAGCGAATGTTATTCGTCATAATAACAGTTTTATTTTGTATTTTGTAAATATTGTAATAAAAAACGGGAGTATTATTGAATAAATATTTAAAAAATTCTTAAACTTTTTATTTTTACCCCTGTTTTTAGGGATTGGGCGTGTCCTTTTCCCTAATTGGTTTAATTTAAAGGCAAGTAGTTAATCAGACTTTTGTGCCGACCCAAACAATTTATTGTTTTCCGGAATTTGAACCCAAGACTTCTTGCGCTTGAAGCAATTAGGCAACACCTATAACCATTTAGCTACAGGCGGTCCTCTTTCTTTTTTAGCAAAAATTAAATGTACCTACTATATACAAATTATACTTTTTAATACATTATAATGTATGTAAAAATGTCATACTGTCTGAAATAATTACAATATCCGTAATGAATTTATATTAAAGGTATTATATTGATCTCACACGTAGTGTAAACATTTTTGCGATCTTTTATTTAAATATATATAAAGGAAAGACCGCAAAACAATCATATATTATAGAGAAAACATGACGAAAAAATGTCACACTACGCTTGCTAATACTAGGTTTTATAAAACAACTAGCTGATCCGGTAAACGTTGTTTTGTCAAATACTTAACTAATAATAATAATAGTTTAACTAATATATCGCGTTTTAAACCGTTAAAGTGTTGTTTTATCATATAAATAATTTCATCTATTGAATTGTAGCTTATATGACACGTTTGTCGGTTTACCATAGCAGTGCCATCTATTGATTACTTACTCAATCCATTCACTGACAATTATTTATAGACAAATGATTTGCAATAAAATAAAATTGCGACTATACTTAAAGATCTAAACTATCCTATGTCTCAAGTAGGACCAGACTGCTCACGGTGTGCCAATTTAATTTAAAAAAGTTTAGAAGTCCATAGCGGACAAACATCGTGACAGGAGATTTATATATATAAAGATAATGTATTTTATTTAAAAAGAAATAATTATTGGATCTCTACGATAAAAATACCTTATAAAAAATAATTTATGAGGTATTTTTTGGCACATTTCCTCTTACTACTGTTTCTACTTTACATTAGTAGTACACAAAATAAAACACTTTTAACGGTTTAAAACGCGATATAAATTAGTTAACTTATTTAACATTTATTTCAACTACGGCCAAGCGTTTAGTCCCGTAGACACGGGTGACCAAGCAGGAATGAATTGAAACTAGTTAACGAATATATATCACGTTTCACAACTGTTCAAAGTGTGTGTTCACCAGAGCTTAAGAAACGTCTTATTAAAATAAATGTATACATAGGACGTATTCAATCTAAATAGGGAAATTGGCAGTTGTCGCACGTGGAAGTGAAAATTCACACAATAATTATTTCGTTCAAGGAAAATGTATTTGTTAGTCGAGATAATGGCGTATAACGTGGAAAGGCGCCGCAAATACAGAAGAAAAAATATATTACGAAAGAGTGAAGTAAGCATTTTTGATTTCTCCGTGTGACTGGGAGAGTTAATGGAAATGAAAATGCTTCTACAAACGAAAATTGTGATATTACAGAGTTACCTTTGTAATGTGTTTTTCGTTTGAGAAAAACATTATATTAACACTTAATTGCACAATATATAAAAATAAATGAGACTTATTTACTGAGATGAAATGCAATGGGCGATCTTATCTTAAAAATAATAATCTTGACACGCTCTTACAAGTAAAAACGCCATAATAAGTCAAAGTTATATAAATTAAAAATCTATTTTGAATAAAAAAAATACGACACAGGTAAGACTTGAACTTGCCTTCACAGCATCCATGATGCTGCCTTAACCAATTGAGCTATTATTTCATTTCGACGATGACGTGCCTCGAATTTGATAGTGCACCTCTCGTGAAATATATAGTTGAATTCTCAAAAA